ACCCACCAATGATAGCAACGACGAAATTAAAGATCAGTTCTACGAGCGGCTGCAGTCAATCATTGAGAAATGCCCAAGAAAGGACCTCACCATTCTAATGGGAGATCTAAATGCCAAAGTCGGAATAGACAACACTGGATATGAAGATATTATGGGACGACATGGACTGGGAGAAAGAAACGAAAATGGAGAAAGATTGGCAAATCTATGTGCATTCAACAAATTGGTCATAGGAGGCACAATATTTCCACACAAGCGTATACACAAGGCTACATGGATCTCACCGGACCACACTACAGAGAACCAAATAGATCATATTTGCATCAACAAAAAATTCCGAAGGACAATGGAAGATGTGAGAACCAGGAGAGGTGCTGACGTAGCCTCAGATCACCACCTAGTTGTAGCCAATTTAAAACTGAAGCTAAAAAAGAACTGGACAAGTGGACAAACAGAAATACAAAGGTTCAATACAGCCTTCCTTCGAGATACTGACAAACTCAATGAATTCAAGATAGCTCTTAACAACAGGTTCCAAGCCTTACAAGATCTACTGAAAGAAGAAGAAACTACTATGGAGGACAACTGGAAAGGCATCAAGGAAGCATTAACTTCAACGTGTCAAGAGGTTCTCGGTCTAAAGAAATACCATCATAAGGAATGGATCTCTACAGAAACACTGGACAAGATCAAAGAAAGGAAGAACAAGAAGGCAGCAATAAACAACAGCCGAACACGAGCAGAGAAAGTCCAAGCACAAGCTGAATACATAGAAGCAAACAAACAAGTGAAGAGGAGCATTAGAGCCGACAAGAAGAAATACGTGGAAGAACTAGCAACGACGGCAGAAAAAGCTGCGAGAGAAGGAAATATGAAACAGCTTCACGATACAACGAAGAAACTATCAGGGAAATACAGTAAACCAGAGAGACCGGTCAAAGACAAAAAAGGCAGGAAAATCACCGAAATTCAACAACAGCGTAACAGATGGGTTGAATACTTCGAGGAACTCCTGAATAGGTCGGCTCCAATGAATCCAGTGGACATCGAAGCAGCACACATAGATCTTCCTATAGATGTCAATCCACCAAGTACGGAAGAAATTAGAATGGCCGTCAGACAAATCAAGAACGGGAAAGCAGCGGGACCCGACAACATACCAGCTGAAGCACTGAAATCAGACATCGAAACAACCACAAGCATGCTTTATCTTCTATTCAAAAAGATTTGGGAGGAGGAACAAGTGCCGATGGACTGGAAAGAAGGACACCTCGTCAAGATTCCAAAGAAAGGAGATCTGAGCAAATGTGAAAACTACAGAGGCATAACACTACTGTCAATACCAGGGAAAGTCTTCAACAGATTGTTGCTGAACCGGATGAAGGATGCAGTAGACGCCCAACTTCGAGATCAACAAGCTGGATTCCGTAAGGATCGGTCGTGCACAGACCAAATTGCAACACTACGGATCATCGTCGAACAATCAGTTGAGTGGAACTCATCACTATACATCAACTTCATTGATTATGAAAAGGCATTCGACAGTGTAGATAGGAGGACATTATGGAAACTTCTTCGACACTACGGAGTTCCTGAGAAGATTGTCAATATTATCCGGAACTCATACGACGGACTAAAGTGCAAGGTCGTGCATGGAGGACAGCTGACAGATGCATTCCAAGTAAGGACCGGAGTCAGACAAGGCTGTTTACTCTCTCCCTTCCTCTTTCTTCTGGTGGTCGACTGGATTATGAAGACCTTAACATCGGAAGGAAAACACGGAATACAATGGACAGCTCAGAATCAATTAGACGATTTGGACTTCGCAGATGACCTAGCCCTCCTATCACGTACACACGAACAGATGCAGATGAAGACAGCCAGTGTAGCAGCAGTCTCTGCATCAGTAGGCCTCAGCATACACAAAGGGAAAACTAAGGTCCTCAAATTCAAAGCGGAGAACAGCAATCCAATCACACTTGATGGCGAAACTCTGGAAGATGTAGAGTCCTTCACATACCTGGGAAGCATCATCGATGAACAAGGAGGATCCGATGCAGACGTAAAGGCGAGGATCGGTAAAGCAAGGGTCGCATTCCTACAATTGAAGAACATATGGAACTCAAAACAACTTTCAACCAATATCAAAGTGAGAATCTTCAATACGAACGTCAAGGCAGTTCTACTGTATGGAGCTGAAACTTGGAGAACTACAACAACCACAATCAAGAAAGTACAAGTATTTATAAATAACTGTCTACGCAAGATACTCAACATCCATTGGCCGGATACCATCAGCAATAGCCTTCTGTGGGAGAGAACAAACCAACTTCCAGCTGAAGAAGAAATTAGGAAAAGACGATGGAAATGGATAGGACATATATTACGCAAATCGTCAAACTGCATCACGAGGCAAGCCCTAACTTGGAATCCTGAAGGGAAGCGAAAAAGAGGAAGGCCAAAGAACACATTACGTCGGATAATAGAAGCAGATATGAAAACGATGAATTACAACTGGAAGGATCTAGAAAGGATTGCTCAGGACAGGGTTGGATGAAGAATGCTGGTGAGCGGCCTATGCTCCTTCACGAGGAGTAACAGGCGTAAGTAAGTAAGTTCTTAGGTTTTTAACACTATGGTGCACTAAAGGTTTTATTAATCCAGAAACGACTGGTGAATTTAAAAGCTGGGTAGATGTTATTGAAAATGTCCAACAACCCTTGTTTGTCGATATTTTCGTCACATACGATTAGTGCGCCATCTCTGGCGAGGAAGAGAAAGACAATAGTATGAATTTCCTTGATGTCCTACTTTAAAGAAGGATAGACGGTTCCATAAAACGAAATATACTTAGAAATAATAGATGAACAGGTCAGTATACCCATTTCCAAAGCTTTACACCTCTTCAATATGAAATAAATTTAGTTAAATGTCTCAGCCACTGAATCAAGCTATTATGTTCTGAGGACAGCGTCGATAGCGAAGTAGATATACTAAAGAATACACTACGAAATAACGGCTATCCAGATAATTTCTTCAGAAAATTCCTAGCACAAAGTATCAGAAATAGAAGAAATTATGACTCAGTAAAAACACCCTATATCTGAGACTGGACTTTGAAGGGGACATAACGGGTGATATTTTAACACATCGACTCAAAAGATCTGTTGAAAGGACGTTTCACACTACCAAGTTACACATAATTTTCTGAACTAAACCAGTACTCACATCAAATCTAGGATAGATTACCGATGATGGGCTCCTCCATGTGTGCATACCAGTTCAACTGCTCCTGTGGAGCTAGTTACATACACCGTACTCAAAGGGCTTTATCCTTGCGTGTTCGTGAATATGTACCAGCATGGTTGGGAAAAGGAGTCACTAAGTCGACCAACAGCAGTATCATTTCTCACTTGGTAGATAGCGAACATCACGTCAAGATAGATGAAGCTTTCTCTGTCTTATACCAAATTCCAAAAAACCTACCTCAATGTGCTAGACTACGGTTACTGTACATAGCCAACACCATCTGAATCAACTCCCGAAAACCAGAAAAAGTATATCCAGCCTCTATGTTTACCTTGGCCTACGACTAGATCACCGGATACTTAAATTGAATATTACAAACCTCTTACGCTCTTCCCTTTTTTTGATTAGATCTATCTTAATCTTCACATCCATCATTCCCAATTCACATGAATCCTTTTTTGTTTATCGTAATTACCCTGATAACACCCCTCTTATTACATATTATATTCACACAACAATATTATCATTGTTATTATTATATTACTATTATCATTATTATCACAATTGACAAGATGAAATTCTCTTACTATGCATTTTATTCACACGACTTTTTTTATCACTATTCTACTGATTGTGACCGGACACTGCTCCAAATCATTCTGACCATTATTAAATGACCTTTCTAATTTTCAAATAACACAATTTTGAAGTATTTATATCGTAATATATGCAAACTTTCACCATTTTTAACATATAACATTGTCAAATTCTATAGTAGATTCCTTATTTTGGCCTTCGTAAAATATCATAATTATAAACTTATAACTGTAGAGCCTGATGATGAAGTTATTGAAAACAACTGTTCGCTCAAGTATTTTTCATTTTTGAATATTCTATGGGGATTTTTAAACTGCTGATATATATTTTGCGCGATCTTAAGTCTTTGGAAGAGTTAACTCTTCGTATATTATCTCTATCACTTATTTCTTTACTGTAAATTTGAATGTTTGTTTCCAGCCGTCAAAATTCTCTATATGCAGCTTTCTGTATTCTTGCAGTGAACAAAAACGAATTTCCTTTACCGATTTAATATTCATTGAATGTGGTAGTTTTTCGTCCTACTCTCAGGCAAATAATTTGTTTGATGGAAACTGACAAAATGCAAAAGTCTTATGATCACCTTGAGCAATAATACAGGCATGTTTCTTCATCCTTGAATGTAAGACATTGCTTCGCAGCTGATCTTTGTTTATCATAGAACTAATAATAGAAGGTGGAGTAGTTAAGCGTTTTGACAGCTTTATTTATCCTGAAAGCTTTGTCAGCCCTGGTGGGTTGCAGCCTGACGAAGTCTGGGGACACTATCAAAAAGTCCAACCCGCTTTTGAAATCATGCGTCACTTGTGGCAAAAGTGAGATGACTGATCACCATTTAGAGGACGAGTATCATGAGCAGTAGCTCACTGTTTTCCAATTTATAGTTGTGAAATACGCTCTACGAAAATAGGAGATATGTATAAGCTGAAATCTTATGATTATGGGTGCTTCCGATTCATTGCTGGCGTTTCATGAAACAAAAGAAGCGAGAAGTGTTGAGGTTAAGTATGGGGTTCTAAGTAAAGGTGGCAAATTGGTTGATGAGACTGTGAATCTCCGCCGAATGATGTGGCTAGGATGTATGGCACGTAGGTCAAACCACCACCTACCTCGACAAGCCATGCTTATTAGTGCGAAACATAGATTGTAAGGAAGCTGAGAGGTGACCAAACTAGAAAGTAGAGTGAGTTTTTGAAGTCGCTGACTGATGGGATGAGCAGTGTTGGTCGGACAAAACCACCGAGTTGGGTTCACATACTCAATATTACACCACTCACTTAATAAATCTGTAGACAGACGAAAACCTCAACTAACTAATATCTAATCACAAATACAAGAACATACTATACAGTTTCTACAGGAAAAGTAACCTAATGAATTAAAAAGACAAAATAAGATAAGATGTGGCAATATTAAAGAGCAATAATTATTGTTCTATAAAATATCTTCATCATGTATAAACTAGAATAAACGACCAATAAAGAATAGTAATATTTAAGTATAAACAAAAGGTCAAAGTAACAAATAAACAGACTAAACTGTGTCTAGTGTGAACTAAAATTTTGTCTATAAAAAAATTTAGAAATAAATTCGCACTTATATTTTTTTATTCCAACCGCTGACGTTGCTTATTGCTAAGTGTTTATTTATATACATGTTTAACAATATTCGGGGAATAACGCTTTGAGTTGAGCTTCTGTATTTTCCGGTGACATAACAGTATGTCCGATGGTTCGTGGGTCATTGAATATTTCGTAATCATTTCCACCCTGAGAATACAGAATTATTAAAAGTAAAAAGCAATAATACACTGTATAATGCGAAGTAAACCAAAGACACATGTAAGATGATTGGTCAATAATATGACAAGAAGCCCAGTAATCTGTATCTACTGTTTTGAGGGAAAATATCTACCCTCACAAAGCTTATAAACGTATCACTCAGTGTCCATTGGAGACGTTACCATTGAGTTACTTGTAGGTATCGATACCAAGGTTGAACGTGATAGTTTCATATAAATTGAGAATTGGTTAGAAAGTTGATTATAAATATATTTTTGTGATGTTACCAATGAGTAGATAATTGTATTTCTGACGTTCCGTGACTTAATGTAAGTCACTTATTCAGAATTAAGTGACTGATATTATGTCATTCAGAAATACAATTTTAAACTCAGTGGGATATCACAAATATATATTTATTATTGAATTATCTGGTTCTTTGTTGGTCATTAATCCGAAAATATATGAAAAATATCCTCAGATTTTGTTAGATTTCTTTATGATCATTTCGTTCCATGTATTGTATCATCTGTGTGAAGACTATTAATTGTATTATTATCCTCCTATTTTTACATTTCAATCTAGTTTGACTTTGTTTACGTATACATTATATTTTGATAAATACAGGATATAAAAGTTGTCACATGTGTGTTTTTAAACAGTGGACAAATAAAAAGGATCACAAAAACGTAATTACTAATTGTATACAAATTTGTTTAATTGTGACAGTCATGCACAAAAATACGAAGGCATGAAATATGTCAACACCCATTAATTTTAATGCTTTTACCTCTTCTGTTTTGTCACCAAAGAAATGTATAGTATCGTAATCTTTCAGGAATTGTAAACAGTATCGTTTGTCCCAACCTTTTGGAAAAACATCAATACTAATTTGTCCACCTACAAAAGAAATGTAAACAAACTATATGACTACAAGTGTTCATTAATATCATAAAACAATGTAATACAATACCGAAATATATCGGGCGATCAGTGGCTTAGATGATAACAAAGCATTCAGCTATGAAGTGTCAAAAAACAAGGTCAAATCCTTTTTCACCTACTTCGATTTAGAGATAGTTGCAGTCACAGAAAATTGAAAACTAGATAGCATCGAGAAAATGAAATTCGGTAGCGATGCCTGCCTAAGACTTTAGCATATATAGGAAACCATTAGTGTTTAAGCGTTCAGGTGCAGATGTCATCCTTAAACAACTAAGTAATGGTCGACCTTTTCAACTTCAGTTAACTCGTGATATACCATGATAATCATCCACTATCATAAGTGATATTTGTCTCAAGAGTAGCAGAATTTAGATCTGAGGCCTAATGATTATTTCAAAACATTCAACACTGACTCATCATTCTTTATCCTCAACTTTAAGCCTTACTCTATGTTTAAAAACAATTGTGCATAGGGCGACTGACATTAACCTATCTTTTTAACCACTATATATACTGTGTAGAGTAGAAACGTGTCCCGATCTATGTTTATACCAGGTTTTTACTTTCTAAATAACCGGCTGACTGTATGAATTAGCTTACCTATAGCGAACTCTAAAGGACTTGAATGAAATTCCGAACGCATTTTCATGACGAAATTTTCGCGAATTTTATGTTTCTAAAGCAAAAAAAATAGAACGGTCGAAAATATTCATTCCATTACCATATCATCGATAGGTGGTGATATAAATGTGCTTAGGGAAAAAGACCAAATTATTGACAGATTATACTAGTAATGGCATAGATGTTGTCCACATTAATTCATTTGAAAACATTGTTAGTGAGAGCTAAAAAGATGAGATGATATCTAACATCAAGAATTCACTCATATAATTGAATAAAAAATTTGATCATAAATCGTATCTTAGGGTGTAGACAAAGTTTATCTAAATAGACGATTCAATAATGTCAATCTGGTCTGAACATTTGGTTCTTAAGTTCTCTTACAGAGCACGAAGGCTAAGTGGAATGTACTAAAACCAGAAGCAGTTCGTACCATTAATAAAACTTGAAGCATGTACCAGATTCATAGGTAAAATCATATTGTTAATTGCTGTGAGATGCAACCATACTTTTATAATGAGGTATTAGGAAAGACTATCTTTAAGAAATGATTTGTTACTACTGTTCCATAAATGTTACATGACGGGAAATCCTGAATAAAGTGTACAATAACAATTTTATTTTACTTCAATTTTAGTCATACGCACAGGTTAAGTAGACAAGCAACAGCAGCTAACTTTTTTATGTTACTAGGGTGCAACTGTAATATGTGTATCGATAAGAAATATGAATCACCTGCACATTTACAGAGACACACCGTACTCCCTTAAATTGTACAAGAACCTGTGAAACAAGTGGACAAATTACGATACCTCTATCGATTTAGAAGTTTGACAATAAGACTTAAGGGAAAACTGTTGGACAGCCGATTGCGAAACGCCTATTTTGCAGTATGTAAAGAATGATTTCATATTTTCAGTGAATATTAATCATTCTTACCGCATCATATTCAGCGAATTCATCTCGTTCTTCCTGACTACAGCTTCGTCCAACTGGACACACATTTATCAAACCATTTCTGAATTCAATAAAATTTCCTCTTTTCCTCGGAAGCCAGAGGTTTGACATATACTGGAGACAGAAATTGATGAAACGTTGAAGGATGTCCTCACCAACATGCTCAACAATATTCTGAAATGAAATTACATCGAAGAAAACTCGGTTACATACTGTGCTTTTAATTTTCTGACCATAACTGTGTACTACCAAACCATTTTCAGAGAATATATATGAAAATTTTTCGGTAGCTTCATGGGTAAATTAAAAGCGTTATTTATAAAAATTCTTACCGAGTGTCCCAATCTGTGAAGAAACCTTCTGGAAATCGGAACCACTAACCACAGCCAAGGGAATATTAGAGCACAATTTAAGCAAACATTCAGTCATATGATCGGATATAATATTGCGTGGCTTTGTAAGTGTTCCATCAACGTCAAACAGGCATATTACTTTTTTGTTCATAGTAAACAAACAACTAATAAAACGGTTAATAGAATATTATTTTTATAACGATTTAAAAGTAGATATGAGGGTTTACAGAACATACAATTCGAAGCGGATCAATTCAAGAGACTTATCTCTGATTCTATGAGGCGAATTCGAAATTCCTCTATCTTTAGTCATTCTGAGACAAATGTCCAATTCTAAGTCTTTTTTTTTTCATTTTTACATATGGTTTTATAAGCAAAAAGCTTTTAGCATCCGCAGTGTTCAGTAGGAAATTTTGAAGTATAAAAAACAACAAAGAAATTACTGTTCCCAGAACAACTAAGAGGAAGCAAGAAGTAGCAGACAGTCCTGATAATTAGACCGGATGATCAAACCGGGTGGTTAAAAGAACAGATATTTTATATCAACAGATACACGTGTATCTATTTAAGTAGAGCCAATAAAGAAAGAGACTAGAAAACCGGTAATATTAAAGGAACTTGTATAAACGAATATAATTCTGAAAAATAATGGTCACTTATGTATTAAAGCTCATATAATAGAGCTTATATGAAGGATAAGATTCATACTGATATGAACCGAGTTTCGACTAAGAACGATACTATGGTATCTAGCTTAAGTTTATATATCAAGTACTATATACATATTAGAGTCTATTATATGTTTATTATTTTTCTAAGTTTAGCTAGAATCCCTTGGAGTTTTAAAGAAGAACAATTAGTTAATCATTGAAATATTTATTTGGTGATATGACGTGTCGATTTAACTCTACGAATGAACCGTTTCCTATGCTGCTGAAATAAATTTTGAAACATGCAGTGTAAATCTAGAGAAACGATAATTTATGAACGAACCAACCAGGTATAATTAGACAGGTATAGGGTATTTGCGCGAAATTCACTCATCCATTTACCTTAGTAGGGTTTTGACATTAAAACTGATGTCAGTTCGTTATGAAAACCCTAAATCTAATTTCTAATCTTAACCCTGAAATGTAAACCTGCATTCTAATTCCTCACACCAATTTATAACCCTCGTTTAGTCGTAGACAGTTCAAAACTCTCAGGGTCATTCCAGAGTCGCACAAATACATCCATAATTTATAGTTTCACCGTAAGTGCTATAATTCGGTAGACAACCATACTTCCGTTTCAAATTCGAAAGAAGCAGCAAAACTGTCATTTTCCAGAACACTTTGTGACACAACCCATCATAATAAATAATGACGCTGACCACGTAGCTAACAGTAACCTTGTAAAATCCAAATAAGCACTTGGAAAATAATTACTTTGTGAATTGTTAAAACACAAAAAATACCATGTCTTTTATTTCTCGAAATATAAAAATATTCGATTAATTCATCATTGTTTACTCTTTGTCATCATTTTATTTACAATTTTCTTTGTCAGATCGCCATGTGACGACTCAGTGTAAAGTGGTCGTTAACGTTTCCGTTAAAACTTTAGTTAGTGTTCAGACATTAGTTATGAAAACGTATTAACAGCAGTGTTTTTGAGCTTTAGACAAAGGTTTTCTGTACGATGTTGATGCTTGGAGTTGTGGTGACCGACTTTTATCGAGAGGAAGCGGATGGTTTAATGGAAAAATAATTATTATTACCAAATGCACCGGTGACTTTTATTGTACTTGTTTGTTTAACTATGATAAAGAAATTGTCACCTTGCACAAATTTGGTTACTCTGAGTAACCACACTTGAAACCTGGCACGATATCTGTATTCTTTTGATACCTCGAGATCGCCAAGAAATACACCTAGACTACAGCGATCAACTACTTCCTGATGTTTGGCTTATAGGGGATCTTAACGGTTAGGTTGCACGTGGTCTGCCTGTAGTGGTGATCATAGTCAACCGCGACTCCAAGTCACACTACAGAGTCTTTCCCTAGGGCTAAACATGCCACCGTTGGTTCAAAGACGTTTGAAATTCCCGTTTAACTCATACCAGAGCATCTTGCCCATTTTGTCCTGCAAACTGAGTAGGAGGTCCGAGGTGTCTTTAAATGTCTAAGGTATGAGAGAATAATTAGAAACCGTGATTGAATTTCCAGGCTTTGTGGTGTGTTGATTTGTGGGTCCTTTTATGTTTGGAAGTTGATTTACGTTTAGAATTTCGTGCTCTTTGTTATTTGAATGGATAATCTTAGAGGTAGATTGCATAGCTAATTCATTAATTGAGTGTCCTACAGGACCTAAGCTTTTCAGCATTTTGACAGTGATAGACAATCATTTTTAACGTTGCTGAATGGGTCTTGTCGTCTACAGAATTTTCGGGGTTCACAGAAATGTCTAGGGTGCCAGTGATGGAGAACACAAATATGCTGAAAGAATCCAACACAAAAGATGTCACAGAAGTGTCAAGTTTTAGCCTAGCCTCACAAATGTCGATGCGTTTTGCGTGAATACTATTGTTGTCGAAGACCCATTCAGAATTGCTTTTCTTAGGGTTACTGACTAAGTTTTCCGCAGCCATAACAACAGAATGATTATTTTGCATAGAAAGTCCTAAGCAGTCATATTTCATGTACGTCCATACCCACTTACGATCTGACTTACTAAGGTTATCGTGCCCAACGTCTGTGAGATTTTTGCATTTGTCACACTGTGTACTACAGATGACGGCTACGTGACATCCAGGTCGAGTAAATGAGTTCTTCACAGCAATTGTGAAATATAAGTTGTACGATAAGTCCTAGCAATACTTTACCAGCGCAAAACAATGCACGTGGAATTAGTATATAAAGAAATGCATAAGCTCAACAATCCAAGACCGTTTGAAACAAACACAAATGGATCGTACTCACTATCTGGTAAAGTATTATTGACACAGTAGATGGTTAATAATTACAGATTTGAAGCCTTATCTGTATCCCTGCTTCCGAAATTTTGGATTCTGTACTTTCAGTCGACACCCTGAAAATGTTGCGCCATCTGAATTCGGAGACATCAATAGTTTTAGATAAATATGTATACTTATTAAATGTGTCAACTCCCTAAATGATTTAGATTTACTGAGCCTTGAACAGTCAAGTGGCTAGAATGCCGTTAGCAAACAATCGCAATTACAAGATGTTAATTAAAATTTGATTTCAGGGGAGGCAGATATTATGCAGACTTTAAAACAAATAAAACGGAGCAATCCTAATGGTACCATAAATCCTGATGAGCCATCGCGTCACAAGTGTGTGCTATAAAAACTTTAATTCCATCGCTATGAGGAATTTGGAAGTCTAAGGAAATCATCTGGTTTATAATAAGTTATCGTAAAGATATTGGATGTTGGAAAATCGTTTGTACACTAACTATATACTGTCAGTAAATAGCGCAGTCTTCAAACGTCTGGTAACAGGAAGCTATGGGGTCATATTATCTAGCTGTTATACTGTTAGTATGTAAGTGTGAGATATGATCAGCTTTATACTTAAGTATTTGTAAGTTATGAAACTGAGTGCACCTGTGAAATTCCTGCGAAATATGTGAAAACTCTGTTTTCTATTGAAAATGGGAAGGAAACAACTACTCAAATCCTGAAATCACAAATTATACAAACTTTAGAAAGTTTATGGGGATCATGTCATATGATAGTGTCTGAAAATACAAATTCAGATGCTGTAGAGGATATCGTTGTTGTTTATAAAAACATGTAAGTCATTCGTCAAAATAATTTTACACCATTCAGGACGAAAGATTGCTTTTTTTGCTACGATTTCATATTCAGAAGTCCAAATGTTATACAGTATAGACGAAGTATGTGTTTTTCAACAAAAATTAACGGTTTTGATTTCAGGTCAATGTCAAAGACCTGAATTCGGGTCAAATGAATCTACTATATGTGGATCACTTGCTACATCGGAATTAGAGACGGGCTTTGTTCGTTCTCGTGAGGATTACTCGGATTTTAATTGTAAAAGCATTATTGAGGGCGTTTTCGCCTTTGACTATCGAATTGTTGGAAGTACTGGATTATGCAGTAGTCCTTTTAGTTTAATAAAAGCATGTCAAAGACAAGGGTCTCCACTTAGAGATAATTCCATCTTGGAACAGACGTTTGGTTACTGCCCAAACTTTCAAGATCAGTCGATCCTTGAAGATCCCAATATAGTTTTTGGAAAAGCAAATATTTGGCGTTGTTACGGACGCTGGACAGATAAAAGTGGAACTATTTGGGCTGCAATTGCTTATGATACTAACCAGCTGAGATTCCGATACCGGTGTTTAACTACACGTATTGATCAACAAAATCCTCAAGATATATATTATTGGGGTAAGTTGGTGGTGGAACTCAAAATTAGAGTAGACTTTCAAAATCCGTTTTTACAGATTAAGAGTAACGTTTTGCGCCTTCGACTTTGACAGGTGTTGTTTAGCCATTCAAGTCTATTTAAATCCTTTTCATCATTAGAAGACCTTAGCACTGACAATTGTAGATAGAAATCTACAACGAATTTGGGTTGCAATTCGCTTTCCCACACTGTTTCCAACCTTTCACTATGCGAACATTGGGTTACAATAACCACTGCAAGATAAAATCCTTGCTAGTTTGACCAACTTCAGTCTAGCGTTTAATGCTCTATCAGAAGTATTTGTCAGTTACTCATAATACTAAGTGATTGTTGGGCTTCAATCAATGTGCTAGGTGAACCAAAGCTATAAAAGATTGATGCTATGACTTAGTTAATTAAAAATGGGTATATACAAGACAGTATACCGAGACTTTATTTATAATTTTAAAACTTGTCGCTGATCTCCAGTAAAGCTTTTTTTTGTAGAAAACAAAACAGGAATACGCAAAACAGTTTGTATATATAAGATTATGAAACTTATCGTTTTAAAGCTTCATGTTAGGGATTTTCTTCTACTATGGGTAATTCTTGGAAAATTCAGGTAATATCAAATTCATTCTCAAGAGCTTCAAAGCTGGATTATCACGCAATTATTTTGGTGAAAGGCTTCATTTTTTGTACATAAAACTGTATTTTATATAACTTAGATTCGGTTATAGGAAAGTAGGTGTTACTTATCTTAACTCAAGTACATTACCATTGAAGTCTACAGATATACTTTACCCTGTACATTAGCGGAAAAGAAGATTTGATATATATTAAATGGTTAGTTACAAGAAGAATCGTTCTAGTGGTAGCTTTATAGGTAAAAGTGACACTGTCTTAGAAGGTTAAGGATACCTGATCTAACTCATTTATGGGCTTTAGATTGAGATAAAATGTATTCCTAATACAAGAGTACTATTTGTATCACAATGGCTTCAGCTGTTGGTTATTACAATGTCAGTAACCCGGTTTGTCAATTCTGAAATTCATTTTTTTTCAAGCTGGTGTTGGACAACTCGTATCTTAGTAGTTACTTTGAATGTAACCACTTCACTGAAGCTGAACTAAATCTGAATGACTTACCGGCGAATGGTCGGTTTAATATACAAAATAGCTTTGGTTTATTGGTTCATAAATACAGTGGTATATTGTTGCTACATTTAAATGGTACGTTTACTTTGTTTTGTGAGCAGGTAACCGATCAAAATACATTAACCATATTGTTCTAGTAAAATTAGTGCGCAAATAACGTTGGCAGTTTACTGCGTTTATTTAATATTACCACTGAAAGGTCCCTTCTTCCTACTTTGCACAAAACCGTTACCACATCAAATCGTCTGCGTCATGAATATAAATGGTGAATATGACACCGTCAACGTTCCAAAAAACTGAAATGCTTAAGTTTACAGAAAATAAGTATTTAACTTCAGATTATCTTATATGAGACTATTCGCTTAAAAGAACATGCTTGAGCACGAGTTTTATCATAATATTTTCGTTAAAAACAATTGTATCTTAAACCACATGTCTTTTGAGCAAACTAATTTAATTTGCCTTCTTTTCAGGCATGTCAACTAACTCAGACTGTAAAGTTTTATATAATTACAATAATGCTCCTATCAGACTAGAACTGCGACCTGCATTTGATCCTACAAGCCAACTAAGTGAACTGCAACCGGGATGTAAACTACCTACTAATTTTAGCGGTCATTGGTTTTACCCCAGTGAATATCAAACTTCTGTAAGACTAATTATATTGGTAGATTTTTAAAAATAGTGTATAAAAATTTGCCGATTTAATACTGAGTTAAACATTGCTATGTTGTGTGCTTATTCTAAGAAGACATTTGTGGCAAATGAGATTTTAACAGATTTTTATTAATTTCGTTTTAAATAATGAAATAGATCCACTC